CTGCAAGAGCGTGTCCGCTGTTTTAAAAGCGTCGTTTCCAAAATAAAGTTATAATAATTATATAATAGTATGCAATAGAAACAGCAAATCATTTTTAAGATTATTAAACATCACCTTTATTTTCATTGTCATTCGTATTTATACAGGCTGTACAAAGATTTTAAATTAAGAACCATTTTCTAATATTGTTTAGCGAACAACCAACCATTAAAGATCGTAAGAAAAGGTCGGGAAAAAACTAATTTTTTTTCTTATTTAGCTTAAATATTTTTTTTCAAACGCATCTAGGCGAATGAGAAAATAAAAATAAAATTTTAATGATGAACGTAAACAGTGTAATAATGAAACTGATAAATAATTTAAATTTATATAACTATTAAAAACAATTAAAACCAAAGAAAAGATTACCATTAAATAAAATAGGTCGGGTCTTCATTGATTAAAATGTGACGAATTAACGATAATTGAAAACAATTCTAATTTTAATTTCAATCATTTACGTGAGCACAGAATTTACGCGAGCACGCAAGCGCGAAAACATTCGATTATATATAAATTCTTATTCGCTGTCCATACTAAGTGATGTTAATTATAAAATATAGTTGTAAACCCAATTATTTGTGTGAAATTAATATGCAATGTACGTAACACATATACTTTGCATGTGTTCATCGGGAAGATTATGAAACAAAATGGACGGTGTGTACCACGTGACTTTCGTAAACCAAGGAGCGGAATGTCGCAATTCTTTATATACATGGCTCTGTACGCAGCTAGTGTAGGACGCCAACTAACGTTTGTATGTTTTTATTACCCAGTACTCCACCGCGCACGGTCGGTTTGTCTGTTTATCTGTTCTCCACAAGATACTGTACTTTTGTTTTCTGCTTAATGAGTTTATAGCGGGCGTACTTCTACCGCGCTGAGCAGCGCTGCACTGGGTAATAAAAAGAACATACAACCGTTAGTGGGCGTCCTACACAGGCGTGATGTTTTTACGAACGGGACTTTGCTCTCTTGTTCTATTTATACTCTTTGGTTGAATTGCCTTGCGCTGAGGAAGGACACAGGCTTGTCAGAAATATTCGTCTTGAATAACTTCTCTATTATTTCAACATATGTAATCGTTTCTTTTTCGTTTGTGTTTACATTTATATGTTTCTATGAGACATACATGAATCCTACTACAATTGATACTATTATTATATACATAATTATTGGTCCAATTAATGAATAAAACTACACACACACACATACACACCCCACCCACACCCACACACACACACACACATACACAACCAGAGCGAATTAAAATTCAACAGTAGGTTTGATTAGGCATTTTATTACTATTTAGTTTCGTGCTACACAAAATATGTTATTGTTAATAATCTATCTTAGTCATAAGGTAATTTTATCTGAAGAGTGTTGCATTATGTACGTGTAGCACGAACCTAAATAGTAATAAAATGCCTAATCAAACCTACTGTTAAACCTCTTATTTTTCTTTACATATATATATCATATATATATATATATATATATATATATATATAACAATGCGATGCCTCAAGAGGGCGTTCGGCCAGATAAATCTGGCAATAGGAGCTTAGAAGTATCCATTGGGGGAAACTAAAATAACGAAGAGGGTTAAAAACAGTACCTTAAGGCGAAAGTAGTGTCTCTAAGGGGAAACTAAAGCAACGTTAAGGCGAAAAATCATAGACAAAAGAGTTTCCCCCTAACAGCCGAATAAAGGTATATACAGTACCATCCAGAAAACATTAGCCCACCGCACGCACTTTTTCCGCAGATGAAAATCGTGGGACACGCAGTTAATTAGTTAGTATAAGGACCACCCATACGCAGTCAACCGTTACGGCATTGAGTAATTCATGGCTTAAACGAACTGCCTAATGATTTTTACGTTCAACAAATTGGTCTGTGTTGTTTATCAGCCAGACAAAAGACAGAGCCTGTCGTTATTTCGGAACAATGCAACTGGGAATATTAAACTTGATACTTTCATGGATATGCTGGTATATCCACAGGCATCTGAATTATTTTGTTAACTGTACTAAAAATTTTCCGGTTTATAAGAAGATTAAATATATATGTACAGAAATATAAATTGTAGGCCTACGTCATTGTAGAAATTCAAGAAGATCAAGTATCTCTTTTATTAGTCGATCAATTAATGGTTCTGAATATTATTAGTTTGAAACCAAAAAATCGTAAGTCTTTAATATTTATTGACAGGTAGTATGAAACACACATAATCAGTTTCCAATTTTATAATACAGTATATATATATATTTATTTATAATCTTTGAGATGATGACACTGCCGGCTATCTTATTGTGAGATAATCAAATTGTGGAATAAAATGACATGATTAAGGCTTAAATTACGATTTTAAAAAGATATACACTGTTATGAAAATAAAGTTTATGTTTAGTATTAAATGGTTAATTAATGATGATTGAACATTTTTTTATTTGTTAGCATCACCATATTATATTATGTTTATTATTGTTTTTATTTAGCCAGATTTTTTATTCTAAAGTTATTATGTATCACGGAGTGTAAGCATGTCGCTTACTTTCAACCGTCTGTCTGGAAGGTAGCTGATCAAAAGCACATGGTTTGCTGTGAAGCACATTCAATTAACCGAGGACTCTACCAAAAATTTATGGGGGAATGAATTTCGTAAAGTAAATTCAATATAATAATTTTCCAGTGGTCCCAA